ATGGCGCGGAGGGATCTGCTCCCAGGAGCTGCCCAACTTCAGGAAGGTGCCTCCTTTCCCTGGCCTGACCTAAAAACGCAGAAAAATCGATGTTTACACCTTCTTTTTACACCTCTTCTTGCCTTCTCCCCCGCTGCCCTGACACCCGTTCGTGGCTCGGCGCCTGCGGGTTTGCAGGGACGGGGTTGGAATCCAGGTGGGAGAGCACACCTGAGGGATGGGGGGAGTGTTTATTCCCGAGGGATCACATCCCCACACCCCCACCCCGTGACCTCCCCTCTCGCCTGCGCCGAGGAGAACACCCAAACTGGGATTTGGCGCAGAGTCTCCCTCGACAGAAGCTGTTTGTGATCCGTTGGAATCGGTTTTTTTCCCCCTTCTTTTTATTTTTTTTTTGCCTCCGCGCTGTGTTTGGAGCGGTTGCCATGAGTTCCCTGCGAGGGGGAGCGGGGTGGGACGGTGCCTGCAGTTTCCATGGACACCACGGAGCACAGCGAGGCATCCGGAGCGATGCTGGAGAGGAATGTCTAACCTGAGCCTGCCTCTGAGCCCGGCTCACCTGGGCCGGGCTGGGATCCCCCCCTGTGCCAAGGGCTTGTTCCAGGACAGCCCTCATGGCCATGCATTTGCACTTTTAGGTGGTTTTAGGGAGCCCAAGGCATGAGATCTGTGGTCCAGGTGCTGTTTTTAGGGAGCCCAAGGGGTGAGAACTGTGTCCAGGTTTCCAGGGTTGGTTTCCTTGGAAGCCTTTGCTTTGTGTTCCCTCTCTTTGGGTCCTGTCTGGGCAGGGATCAGACTCAGGAACACTGAACCACTCCTGCTCCAGCAGCTGCTCATGGAGGTCACAGCCACCCTTGAACTTCCTGGCCTTCCCATATCATGGAAAAGTCCTTTCCCAACACCTCCATCTCATGGGGATGCTTTACCTGAGTGCAGAGGGAGGAGAAGCTGAATTGAGTTCACTCGATAACAGAGCGAGAAAGTGAAGGCTCACATCCTTCCTCCTGTGCTCCCGACCTTCCTGTTGATGTTTGCAGGAACACTTTGATCTCTCCTGGGTAGCAGCTGGTCCCCGTGAACGGGCAGATTTCCTGGATGCAGTTCCACCTTGAGCTGAATCCACTCCCAAATCGGGAGCCTGGAAAAGGGAAGGGCCCCACCTGGCACAGGGGCAGTTTCTGGGGCAGCTTTGGGGCAGTTTTTGGCTTCATGAGGGATTGGATAAAAATTAATAGTTTTGTAGGATCCCTCATCATGCCACGTGCCAAAATCCTTGGGAAAACCAGCCCTGGTGGGTTGGGGTCACCTTCACAGGCTGGGTGTTGTCCTCCTGCCTGCAGGCAGAGAGAGGTTTCTTTCCGGTGAAGGAATTGAGATTTTTGGTGGAAATTCAAGGAGTGAGAAGCTCTGGCGGGGATCCAGCCTGTGCTGGCGCTTGGGGTTTCGATGAGAGAGAAGGAAAAAAAAGGAAAAAAAAAAAAAAAAAAAAAAGCCCTGAAACTTTCCACGGGAAGCGGGCGCTTCCCACAGAACATGGATTTAGGTGGTGGTGCTGATAAAAACCGGTTGTGGCCACCAGTTCATACCACACCGACTCCTGTGGGCCCCCAGCCAATGCCACCTGGGGCAAAAATATTGAATTCAGGGACTCGGTGTCGCTTTTCCCAAATTAATTAACCTCCAAACTGCCCCGGCCTCAGTTCTTCCTGCTCCTGCTTGTCCCTCCATCTTCCTTCCTTCCCTCCCCAGCCCCTGCTCGGCAGCTCAGCATCCCCAGGGGCAGCATTTTATGGGCTGTGGGTGAAAATACTTGGTTTATATCCCTTGTTTGTCAGCAAAGGGTCTTCTGGGGCCTGATGAGGGGTGGCAAAGCCACGTTCAGATGGAAGGAGCCCGGGAAGAGGGTCACATCCAGCGGTGATTTATCTGAACTCCGTCCAGAGCCAGGAGTGATGCCAAGATTTGATGTCCTGCTCAGCCCAGCCCAGCCAAAGGACCATCTCCTCCCTAAATTAACAAGGATTGAGTCTGATTCCTGCTGGCAATTCCTTCGTGCCTCTGTTCCAGGGGACTGGTGGGGAGTGGGAGGGGGAGCTCCGTGTTTTAAGCTCCAGCTCCCCACAGACCTCATCGAGCTCTATCCCCCCCACTGCCTGGGAGGTTTGTTTCCAACTCTCCTGTGCATCCAGAGGAGAATTAAGCTGCTTTGGTGTGTGTGGCCCTGGGTTTGCACATGGAAAAGCCGAGTAAATATATGATATTGCTGGGGAAACTTCAGAGAAAATCAGCCACAGCTTCTCCCACCTTCCCCTCCCTGGGGTTCCTGAGCATCCCCGAGCCGAGCTCGCAGGATTCTCTCCACCCACACTTTTTTTCCCTACTTGAAGCTCTTCCCACCCCCTCCCTGCAGTGCCTCCATCCTCCTCCCTCCCAGCTGAACCCCACTGCCTTCCCAAACTCCCGGTGACCTCCCGGGGAGGGGGGTTGGAGGGGCCGGGATGCTCCCCCGGCCCCGCGGCGCAGGGGGGGGACGGGGTGGGAAGGCTCCGGGCTGTGACTCAGCGCTCAGCGCTCTTCAGGAACGGGATTTCAAGGGATTTCACACCCCAAACACAACCCCAGCTTTCTCTCGCTCAGCAGAAACGA